AAAGTAACCATGGATAAGTCCCATGAAACTGAAGGGTCACAATGAATAAAAAGCCATTGTCTAGCACCTCTAAAAGCCTTAGTGCAGGCAATATAACACTTTAAGGTCCTTACTGGACATAACAAATGATTGAAATCCAACTGATCCTAGAGGTGAGAAATAGCAGTCAGATGAATCAGTGAAAAGGATTTATCCCCTTCCCTGGCTGTCAGTGTCTTAGGTAAGAAGGACCTGTCTGAGTACAGAAGGACATAGGGAGAATGATAAAGCATTCTGTGCACATGTAGCACAAACAACACCAACTGGTGACATTCACAGGCCAACAGCAACAAAAAATAAACCTTAAGGGAAAGGTAGTACTTGGTACATGAGGCTAAGGACTCAACCAGATGTCGAGAAAGAGCATGTAACATCACCTTTATATCCCAGTGAAGTAACTGAAATGGTCATTTGGAACGAAGGGCCTGAAGTGACTTCAAGAGGCTGGAGGGCACTGGCAGCTCAAATAATTTCTGTCTCTTCAAGTATTTAAAGGTAGCTGATAAGGCCACCTTATATAGGGAAATTGTGGAAGATGTGAAACCCTTGTCAAAGAGCAGGTCAAAAAGTAGGTTTATCCTCCTCACAATACACTATTGTCAATATGTGTGTCACTTAATTTGATAAATGTCCATCATGGGATGATGCAGAAACTGAGACAAGTACATGGCAACCTTAGAAGTTAAACCCCGATGTCATGCGAACCTCCACACATGAACCATGAGCTTCGGGATGAATTGGTGTAAGACATTGTATTGTGGCTGCCTCAACAGAGATGACCAAAAAGAGTGGAAAATGTGGAGACTCCTGAAGATATTGCAGAAGTGAAAACCAGAGTTAAGCTGGCCAATCCAGTACTACCAACAAAACATGAACTGGAGGTTCATGATCCATTGGTCACATATAGACCACTGAAGGGGTCTCATGTGCATTCGTCACAAAGGAATGAAGGATTAGAGTGATGTCCACAACCCAAAAAAGAAAGAACCAAGATAGAGAAGACATAAGCATTGGTCTGCCTGTTTTATAGCATGGAGCCGGATGGGAGTTGGTTAAACCTGACTAAGATACGTGTTGAAAAAGACACTCAGGTGGATAATATATTTTGTTGGAGTGAGAAGAGATGCCTCGACTCTGAACAGAAATCCTGCCTTGGTTGCCTTGGAAAGCAGTAGCCAGATGTCCATGGAATGGTATGTTTGCAGGCCCAGGTAATATAGGTGATGAGAAAAGGTTCATATTATTTGGCAGAAACTGTATGGAGCCAATGCTAGTCCAAAGGACAGAGCCACGAACTGTCTCACCAGATCCTCGTGCACACAACGCAGATAGTGATGCTATGACTCTGTTATGAGAATGTACTGATAGGCATTGGCAACATCCAATTTGGTCATCCATAGTCCTAGCCAAAAATGGCAATGCATAGTGAGGAATGACACCATCATGAAATTTGGAGGATCTAGGAATTGATTTAGATGAGAAAGATCAATGACCAGACACCAATCTCCTATCATCTTGGGCCCAACAAACTGGAACAACTCTCTCCACTGTCCCTTTGACCAACAAATCTCTGATAACTGTGAAACAAAGTTCTGATATCTGTGAATATGCAGGAGGTGAAAACACTACAGCTTGGGAAGATAATGGTTGTGGAGATGTGAACTGAATGACTAATCTTGATGCAAGAATCTGTAGTACCCATGAATCCATGGTGAAGGTTTTCCATTGTTCAGACATTTTGGAGCCAAGACCCAAAGACTCCAAAGGCACACAGTAGTCACTGCTGCTGCTGGGGATGTTCCGACCAAGCAGAGGAACATCATGGATATGGACAGTATCTCTTCTGGGTATCAATGGACAAAAGGGCTGATGTCAAGGGTTGGGACCTTCGACCTCCTGTAGAAGCTGTGGACAGGGATTAGCACAGACAGTTGACATCAACCCTCAAATCCCACGAAAATCAAGGGTTGGAGAAAATGGCCTCATATAATTCCTGGAGGGTGGTAGTAGTTAGACGAATGTCCTTCAATAATTCATCTCTACCCAACAACCTAACCTTCCAGCCAAGAAACTAGGGAATGTGCAGAAGCTCACAATCAAACCAAGGTGGATGCTAACAAGGATCCCAACTTGTCATCAAAGTGATGTGGTGATCACTGAGAGGCTTCCTAAAAAAGGTATAGGATGATAAATACTTCAGTACTATAGTTAGGGTCAGAGAATTCCTAGAAAACTGTTATCTATTCAGGTTGAACACAGACTGTTCTGGAATCCCACATTTCCAGGAGCAGGTCTATCCACTGAGAGTCTAAATATGCTTCCACCTGGTGGTGGTAGGTGAAAGCATGTTGTTCTGGCAAATGTGGCAGACAAGGCATAGCTGTCCCTTCACATAAATGAGCAGCAAACCTCCCTGCATGAACCACAATATCAGGGAATGGAGGGAGAACTAAGTATTTGCCCTCAGACCTTTCCACTATCAAAGAAGACTCCAGAGCAAACAGGGAAAAACCCTAAACATTACACACTTGAAGTACTAACAAAAGAAAAGGAGCCATAGGCAGCTGATCCAAATTGGCCTCAGGATAAGCTAACAGAGTAAAGGAAGGCACTGGAAAAAGCAAAACTAAATTCTCTCCAGAATGTCCAGAATTGCTTGCAAGTGCAGTCTCAGAGCTCCATGAAGAAACACCGACAGAACGAATGTATGTCTCCATCTCACTATGGATAAGGACACAGAGAGCCTCAAACGAGAGCAACTACGCCTCCCCCCCAATTCATGAGCAATGCTAAATATCAGACCAGATAAGAGAGACCTGATTTGCCTCCAGATACTTTAATACAGGAGTGCATGCTGTAAATTGGCTTGCCAAATGAAAATTTCTTCATAGAGAGTGTCATGAGACAGATATTGCCAAGGGCAATTAAATGGGGAATAAGTTACTAAAGCAAGTGAGAAAAAATCAGACCAATGCTTAGATGGGCAAAGAAAAAGAAACCCTAACAGTCAAGTAATACCTGTAGCATGAGTTAAGTATGTTTTAGAATTATTTGCATTTGCTGTGGTTTTATTACTTGCATTCTTGAATATTCTGTTGTACACAATCTATGCTAGCATATTACCACAATCAGCATGCTGGTGCTGTAAATGAATGCATAGTAGCATAACTGGCATGTTATTGCTAGTTTTGTAAGTCATCTGTGAATGCTACTACTACGTAACTGTCAATACTTAAACTTGCTTTTGGTAACCTGAAGACAGTTCTGGTATTGGAGTTGAAAGTTCATTTCAGCAAAGCAAATAGTCAAAAGTACAGACATTTCCATGTCTTGTCCAAGTGAGATTCTCTAATTTTTCTTGAGAAGGTTACAGGCCTTATTAGTTGTTTCAGAATTTAAAATATCCTTTATGCATTTAAAATTTCATAATTATTTTTTACATGTTAAATATTTCAACACTATTAATATCATTAGATGTATAAATACTTGAAACAACTGGTCAACATAATTATTAATAAATGTATATTCACTGTATAAAGTAATGCATCAAAACATCAAAGAATAATAACTATAACAAAATCTTGTATTCTACAGGTACTGTTAATGTAAATTATCACAATGACATCAGACTTGCTTACTTGATACAATCGAATAATATAAGGATGCTTCAATAACTTCATTATCTGAATTTCACGGAATATCTTTTTCAGGTTTTCTTCATCCAGGTTGGTTTTATCTATGATTTTAATAGCAACCTATAAAACAAATACAAATAAATTCAATTAAGTCTCTTAACAATGTGGAAACATATTTTTCTACAATTTTTAGAAAGATATTATTAAACACTTTTACTGCTAGCAACAAATTACTTATAAGTACATTAATGTTTAGTGAAATGGTAATCTGATGGATCAAAGTAAAAGGAAATGAATAGTGTTTTTATCTGCTTTTTCATTAATAACCTATGGAAATATTTTGCATTTATGAACTGATATATGTTTATTTATGAATTTTACTCATTTTGTAACTTCTATTAGTTTGTGATTTGAATGTGCACTACTTCAGACATTAACACTTAAAGGTACAGTATAATCATGTTTTGTTTATTGGTAATCTGTGTGGGTCTCAGAAGCAAACAAGTGGTGTATTTTTTGTGCTTTGTAACTAATAACCTATTCAACATTTCTTTATAGTTTCATTGGTTATAATATTTAAGATATTTCTTAATTATTATTTTAAATTGTTGGTTAGCATGTGGAATTAGAACTAACTTAAATCCTTTTTTGGCCAAGCCCTTTAAAATATTATTGGGATTATGTTCATAAGTATTATTAGGAGGAAAGGTACCCCCTGATGGTTTAATGCATACTATTTACTAATTGTTATAGGTTTAAGTTTTCTGGTGTATTGATCTGTTACTTTAAATATCTTAGCCAATTTGTTATATGTGTATGGGATAGTTTTCACTAATTTATGTATAATTACTTTTTAAATAACATGGTTTTCACTCATGATCAATATAATTTACTTTTTTTTAATCAGAAGTTTCCAATAAATAATGCTAAAAAAAATGTAGATGCAATAAGCTAAAAACAAATATAATGATGAATAAAGGGTACAATACATGACCACAAATGAGTTTACACAAAACACTGTTACAGCAAAGTCAATATCAGTATTATTGTTAAGATCTAAAAGTGTTTTCCTAACAAGAACATTTTGAAGGAACTATGATTCTGCATAATTTTACATACATTTTTTTCTCAATAGTATTGTGATGGTCAATGTATAGCTATTTTACAGGTTGTCACAGTTACTTCAATTAGCACTGACAATTAAATATTGATCATAATAACGTGACAATAATCAAGTGTGTTTGATCTACTGTATCAATGTTTTAAACCCAGCTCAAAGACTATATATATATTAGATAATTTTCTCATGCCTGAACAGATCTTCATAGAATTCTAATTCACTCTTAGGGAAATATACTGGACAGAAATTCAGAACCTCTTACAATGATACAAATGTGGTATAAAGATAACACAAATTTCTTTCTCCTAAAGAGTGTATATATTCAATAAGATGATCAACATTTTTCCCTAGCATTCTAGTTTAAAACTCACTAAGTCCAGGCCTAAGCCATTTGCTAGTTCAACTTTAGGTGTTACTCTATCACAAGATTTGGTCAAGAACGGACCTGCAATTTCATGGGTTAGTCTTTTTATTTCAATCTTACATTTGTAAGTGTCACATGAAGTAGAGATAAATCTGAATTCTAGTAATCCAATTTTGTAATTGGTCAGCTTTGAAGGAATGTAAAATGTGAGAGCAGTTTTGATAGTTTTAAACAGATTGTTTTGAACCTGAAAGAGCCAGGACACAATGTGAAACTTTATCCACACTGTTCTGTATTACTGATCTTTCAGCTTCTGGCCACGTATATACTATCTCCTATTTTAATTTGACCTATGATTTCAAATTCAGTTTAAAAACCTATAAATGTTTTCCTTAGATACAACCCTTTCCATGCATATAACTTTTCTAATTGTTTTAAGAGTAATTTCTTATATTGGACAATCACCCATTGTCCCAATCATTCTTCTGCTTTTGTCTCCCATTATTGCAGTAGTCAGATAACTGTGCTCTATCTCCAACCATTGGAATTACACAGATAACCTCAACCAAGACAACTTTTGGCTGGTGGCTCGGATTCAATTACTGTGAAAGTGGCAGTTCATCTACATTTTTGATTCCCTCAAAATATTTTTCTCTCTCATTTGAGATATCTTATGAGAAATGTCTCTCTACTTTGGTAAAGCTTAAGGTAGAGGAGAAGGAAAGAAGTAATCATCTAAGGTTGTGATCAGATGACGTCCTCTATTGCATACAAAGTGTTCTCTGTATTTCAATAAGCATTCCAAACGTTTATGTTTGTCACCCAGAAATCTGATCCATTTTTTCCAAAATCACTAATAATGTCAGTCTTTCTCATGCAGATCAGCCAAGCCCAAAAAATTCAGCCACACTAAGAAATCAGTACAACAATCCAGCATTCCCAAGGCTCCATGCTGAATGGGAGAATTAAATGCTATGAAATGAGCAGTAGCAGGGGACATTCTCTAAAAAGAAGAGAAATGTTAATGCCTTTCTTCACTCCTCAAGGTGGATTCCTGTACATGGTGAGGGGACTTCCAAGGGAAGGTTCTGTATTTTCAGTTCACCTCCTCTGGGATCTAAACATCCACCCAAGTGTTTGTGATGCATGGTGACCCATGAAAAGGAGGAAAGGATCCTGGTGGTTGAGGGGTATTGCTGATGGGTTAGTTTATGTCAGTGGCAGTTTAACACACCACTTTGGCCTTGAATTCTTGTAGATGGGTGGCCTTGGGGTGGCTCACCCAGGGTCAATCAGCTGGTCTAGTTGGACTTGGGTCAACCAATTACCAGTGTTGGACATTCTCAATGGATGTTGTGGACATTGTTTCTGATACTGGTATTTGAGTATAGTGCCCACAAAATCCTGGCATCTCTACAATGATTGGCTTTACCACTGCATTGTATCCCCTTGTAGGACTCTATGGTGGGTGGGGTCAGTGGCCACTGAAGATTTTCCTTTTTCATAGATTCTACACCTAGTGACCCAAAAAAAATAAAAACATTGATTGGAAAGCAACCACATTTCGAAGGCTCTGAACATCAGTCTCCATTCTGCACCTGAACCTCATTTTTTCATCATCCACTCTTTATAAGACAAACCTTTTGGGCAAATGTCTCCCTCTTATATTCAGAAAGGATTAGAGGGGCTTGCTGGCTCTCCAAAATCATTTAAGAAGCAATGTTTTGCAGACAATTTGGTAGAAACATCTACATCGAAACACTGCAAACTCCTACTGAGGTTACTCGCCATATTACTTTGAATTCCTCCGAGGAGTTATCGTTGAAAGGGATTTCAGAAACATCCTCTACTCAGAGATACTTGCTGGTTTCTCCAGCCATGGAGTTTCTGCAGTGTGACTTATCTCCACTCGTAAAGAATGAAATATGCTGCCTACCAATGTTCTTATAATGATGTTTGCATTGCCACGTGTGCCTGCCACTGTCAAGACAGGTGATCTGAGCTGTAAGGTACAGCCTTATATTCCTAATTGTCTCTGATGTTTCCAGTATCAGTGGTTCAGACATTCTAAGGCATCTTGTTGCGGGTCTTTGATGTGTGATCATTGTGGAGGCAAAGACCATGATGCTTATGAGTGTCAACTGGACCCTCACAGTATTGACTGTGGTGTTATCCACCCCGCTTACTATCAATCTTGCCCTAAGTGGGTGGAGGAAAAGGAGGTACAGCATTTAAGAACTGCTAACAACATTACTTATCCAGAGACTCGAAAATTGTTGTCTCCTGCTCTATCTCAGACATATTCTGCTGCTCCTTCTCTGCCTCCATCAGAGTCTTTCTAACACCATGTGAAGAGTCTCTTACCCTCCATTGTTGCATGAGTTAATGAGTCACCATTTACTCCTGTCTCTGTCCCCACTATTGCTTCCATCGACTGCTCAAGGCCTTCTCTTTCAGCCCCAAGGTGCAAGACCATTATTCAGTCATGCCCTCAGTCTCTGGAGTCTCCACCCTCTGACAGAGATCTGCCAAATCAACCTAGGGCAGGTTCCAAGGAGTTCTACAGACCTCCTTCTACTAAGAAAAAAGCATGGTCCCAAGCACAAGGATTCTCTGCCCAGTTCTCTTCCACCAAAATGAATATAACCACATTAATACAGTGGAATCATCAAGGTTTTCATTCTAATTTGGATAACATTAAGGCTTTGATCAATTCCTATCATCCCATGTGTCTCTTCTTACTGAAAACATTCCTGAAACCTGCTCATACTGTCACCTTTCAACAGTTTTCTTTATACCGGAATGACAGTTTGTATGATGGAGGGGGTGGCACTACTGGTTGACCAGCACATACCCACCTTGTCTGTGCCACTCAATACACCCTTGGAGGATGTAGCCATCCGATTCTCTGTGGTTGTACCAGCACTATTTGTTCTCTCTAACTATCTCACAGAACAGTTGCCGTCTTCCTTTAAAATCCTGGACACTTTAATGGACACAATCCCCTCTGGGGTAGTGCTGATATTGATGGAAGGGATCATTCTGTGGAGTGTATTCTCTCAGATCACAACCTTTCTCTCTCCAACACCGGTACTTTTACCTATTTTCATGCACCTAATCAGTCTTTTACTGCTATTGATCTATCTTTTTGATCCCCATCACTTTTTTCTCATTTTTCCTGAAGGGTTGACAGTGACCCATGGGGCAGTGATCATTTTCAGAGAGATTGGCTGTAGTTGATGTCACCAGACACAAGTTCCATGGTGAAAGTTGGAGCAAGCTGACTGGCTCCCTTTCAACTCTCTCTCCCGGAACTCGATGCTGTTTTCTTTAGTCTTCTGTCTATTAATGACTGCATGGAAGCAGTAACTAATTGTATAATTCTTCAAGCAGCTGTTCATTTTATCCCCAGAACTTCCGACACGTTTCCCATAGTATATTTGTCAATGGTGGGCTTTTTCTTTTTGAGCTGATCATCTCTACGATTATAATCGCCCTTTTACACTGCTCTTCATCTGTCTGGCAGTACATTGGTTTAGCCCAATGATGCTCGCTATAAGATGCTGCACCATCTCACTCCTGCCTCTCTTGCTTTTCTTCTGGTTGTTTAAAACCAGATCTGATAGGAGAACATTT